CTCATGGCAAAGGTGGCAGTAGTTTATGGTGGCAATTAGCCACACATTCTGTATCTTCCTCATATTCCTGACTCTCCTTCTTCCTCTGTTATTCCAGTTGAAAAGAGACTAATTAACTTTTAAGACACCAAGCACTATACATAGAACTAGGAGGTAGAACAGAAGCACTAAACATGTTATTAGGCCAATTAACTGGGATATTCCATGAAACCATGACCTGAAACCTCCAAACCAAGAAACCATATCCCATGAGGTCTCTGTACATTAGTAGCCTCAGCAGCTACTCTTGTTTTAGTTTTTTTCTTTCTTTTTCTTTGTCATTGTTGTAAATATATCTATCACACAACCTTTGCCAATCCAACTTTTTACAGGTGTACAACTTATTGACAGCAATTACAATGGGCTATGCAACCCTACCCTTAGTCAACGTGGTATTTCCATCACTGTTAACCCCTTTTCCTACTCCTTCCCACCCCTATAGCCACTAATAAACTTTGTTTTCTATACATTTGCCTTTTATTGTCTTTTTATATAAGTGAGGTCATAAAATATTTGTCCTTTTGTGACTGATGTATTTTACTCAGCATAATGTCTTCAAGCTCCATGCTCCATTCACATTATAGCACGTATCAAGACTTCATTTCTCCTACCAGCTGAGTAGTATTCCACGGCATGTATGTACCACATTTTGTTTATCCATTCATCTGCTGATGGGCATTTAGGTTGTTTCCACCTTTTGGCTATTCTGAATAGTGCTGCAATGAATATTGGTGTATAAGTCTCTGAGTCTCTGCTTTCAAGTCTTTTGGGTATATACCTAGGAGTAGAATTGCTGGCTCATATGGTAGTTCTATTTTTAGTTTTTTGAGGAATCATCACACTGTTTTCCACATAGGCTGTAATCTTTACAGGAGCAGATCACCAAGTCTCTCCTGCGGAGTGGCTGGTAGGTTCAAACCGCTGACCTTTTGGTTATTAGCTGAGCACTTTAACCATTGTGCCACCAGGGCTCTTTATCGCAAGGCTAGGAAATAGGAAATAGGATTATCCCCATTATGTAGATGTGGAACCTGAAGCAGAGTGGTTGAAGTAATTTGCCAAGGCTCCCTCTTAAGCTCTTCCCACTCAAAGGAGGAAGACTCTAAAAATCTTTCGTATCTATTTAGATTTCAATAAATCCCAATAACTCCTGGTCCTAAGTCAGTCAGCTGATTACAAGGTTCCCTACATCTCTTGAAAACTTCCTGTAGGAGCACATCCTGTCTAGACATTCCATCTAAAATTGAAGTTACAGACTGAGAAGCAATATTATAAGAAACTCAATCTACAGGACACAGTAAAACCTTCAATGGCAAAAAAACATGAACATAGTTGGTATAGTGTATGTAACTCAGGCATTGGATTACCCACGATAGGGGTACCCTATCATGATCATGCATGATGGTGCTAAGTATGTAGAAATATTGTATATTATGAGGTACTCCATAATCCAGTGCCTACATCCTGCCAATCTATGGGCCTCATTTATGTAAATTCAACATTATGGAGTAAAGAGAAATGGGTCAGGCATTATTAATACAAAGAATAATGAGACACAGACCTGCCCTCAAGAAGGTTTCACAGTTAATAGAGTAGTAATTATAAGACAATGTAGTAAGATCCATGGTGTTAGAAGTCACAACTGCAAGTTATTATGGGAGCATGTAGGAGAGACACCTAATCCAGCCTGTGGTGAACAAAGACTTTCTAGGGCAGAGAATGCCTAAACTGAGATTTAAAATGGAGATACAAGTCAGGTAGAGAGATTCCAGAGAATAGGGTGGGTGGTAACAAGCAAAAGCACAAAGGCAAGGGAACGGCAGTGTTTTCTGTGTGGAACCAAATGAAGTCAGTGTACTGCTAGAGCATAAATTGTAAAATAAAGAGATAAAATGGGTGAGATAGACACAAATCGCATCCTAGACAGAGTCTTAGTGTGATAGATTAGATTTTATCTTTGAGTCCAGGGATTTTCAAACTGTTTCAGAAACGAAACCATTTTTTCCCAATAGAAAGCTTCCATGAGTGATCAACAAATGAGCACTATAAACCAAGGGTTTGAACCAGTTCATTTTAACAAGTTCCCAGGAAATGGCTAATGCTGCTGGTTGGGGACCAATTCTGAGAATCACTAGTAGAGCAGTGGTTCTTAAAATTTATCACTCATAAGAATCACCTGGGGATCTTGTTAAACTATAGATTCTGATTCAGTATATCTGGGGTGGAAATGCAAATTCTCAGCAGGCGTTCGAACTGGTTCCAGTTCAAAGCCCTGCTATAAACACAGAGCTGCTAGTTGGAATAGGTGGGAATGCTCCCCATGCTTTGCCCATAAATGGCAAGTGCAGTTTGAAAGCCACAGCTGTAGAGATTTAAGTAAGATTTGCTCTCTT